GGGTCCAGGGGCCTGCTACTGGCATCTGGTGGGTGGAAACCAGGGTCTGCTCAACATTCTAGAGTGCGTAGGACAGCCTCTTCACCCCCCAGAATTATATCAACAGTGCCAAGGCTGAGAAACTCCAAACTACAGAGGAAAGCTTATGTATATTAGAAGAGATTTGCACAGGTATATTACGCAGCCGTTAAGAAGAATGGCTCTTTAGATCTTTTTTAAACTTGGGGAATTGTTTGTGATATGATGTGGAAAACAAAAGGATAAAAGGATTATATTCAACTTATCAGCAGTCTCATCTAATTGTTTTTCTTCATGCTTTATTGTGACCTAGAATTATCTTGTTTGCTTGTATGTTTACTTATGTTATCGCCTGCCTCCGTTTGCTAGGATGCAGGCTCCTGGTATACTTTTGGAGAGTGTTAAATGGTGGGTGGACACATGAATGGGCAAAGTCCATGTCTTATGAGTGAAATCAGTAATGTGCTGGTAAATATTTAGCAAATGGCTCTCTGAAAAGAAAATCCCTTGTCGTTAGCATTTGCCAACGTCCATGGCAAATGACTCCGACCATGGCACATGTCAGGCTACTTCACAGTGTCACTGAAGGAGTAGGGCAGATGTACACAACTGGCTAGCCAAGCCCCTAGGAGTTGGTCCCAGCCCACCACCAGGAAGATTATTCATACAAAAGACTGGAAGGAAAAATGCCAAAAGGCTAATGGTAGAGCAGTGGGGTCACACATACATTAGAAACCATCAAGCTCCAGCTGAACAAGAAATGACTTTGAGGAGATGGCCAGTTTATATCCTCCAAGGAAAAGTAAAACCTGGCTACTGAGACAGCATGACTCCCAGTTTCTGGTCTCAGAATTCAGTGCAAATTCTAAATTCCCAGCTGAGAGAATTGGCAGACATGGTCTTATATGTCAGTAGGGGAATGAGGCCCATACACACTGGGCCATGGGGAGCCCATGTAGTATTAGGTGTTTGGATTGTGAACTGTGTGAAGGTGGCACATGGGGTGGGGGGCCCTTTACATCATAGATATAAATGAACTTGTAGGAAAGAACGCAGGTGGGCTTGGAGATTCTGGGCTTGAGTCCTGAGGCAGCGGGGAACATCCTCCTTTATAAACCCCAGGACAGAGGGCCAGGTACACACTCTGGAGGCATGTGGACACACCCAGTCTTGTTATATACACACCCACGTGGCCTGGCATCCCCTGAGCAACTTGTTCTTCAGAGGACCAATTCTGCTCCCCCAACCCCACCTCTGAAGCTGACAGGGTTGTTTAACATGGGGGAGAGAACAGAAGAGTATTGATATTGCTGGTGACACATATAAGTCCTGGGACACCTTCAAGTGGGTCAAAGTGAGGGCTCGCTGACCCTCAGCCATGGCTTTTGCCCACCTGGCCCAAGGATTGTAGTTAGAATAGTTAAAAAAAAATCATTTGAGATACTCAAGAGAACTGAAAACATATAGTCACCCAAAACTTGTACACAAATATTCAGAGCAGCATTATTCATGATTGCTCCCCAAAGTGGAAACAACACAAATATCCATTGAAGGATGAATGGGTAAACAAATTGTGGTCTATCTACACCATGGAATATTATTCAGCCATAAAAAGGCATGAAGTACTGCTACATGCCCCAATGTGGATGAAACCTTGGAAGCCACAGTACTGAAAGATGCCAGACATGAAAGGCCACAGATTTTATGATTTCATTTCTATGAAATGTCCAGAATAGGCCAATCCATAGTCATCTTGCCTCAGTGAGAACCTGGTTCTCTTGTGATATCCATGTTGGTAAACAGACCTGAGCCTTTGTTTTTGTTTACAGAGCTGTGTCCCTTTTCAAACAGTTTTCAGGAAAATCCAGGAATCATATAGTAGTCAAAAGCAGGAGAACTGAGGAATACAGTCTTTTATGAGGTGCCTTTCATGGTGACATCACCATCATGCTGCCACCCAAGCTCTGGATACCACCTGCAAAGCTGTAGCAAGTTGGGAAAGGTCAGGGGCAGTCTTTCTGAAAGTGTGTTTAATTACTGTGATTTATGCCCCCAGGTAGCAGTTTCTGACAACCTGCAGCAGGCTGAGGACAAGCCATGGAAGATAAATGCTGTTATAATGGGAAAACACTGCATGAACAGTGGGTAAAACTAAAGGAAAGCACAAACAACCTCCTCAAATCTCTCCAAATTGAGGATTACATTTATTTAGCATAGTGCAAATTGCCATGAGCTTTACATAATAGCATGAGTAAGGAATTGTGTTTAGCTGTTGGTGCAGAGACCTGAACACAGTTACTCATATGAACTAGATCTTATTTGTTCTACTAAAAAGAAAAAAGGCTGGAGGTGGTCCAGGGATATCTACAAATTCATCAAGAGACTTCCTACTTTCTGCTCCACCATTCTTGGCACATGGCTGCCTGAAGGTTACCTCATGGTAAAAGATGGCTGCTATAGCCCTCGCAATCTTGTTTGAGCTCCTGGTAGCAGGAAGGAGGAAGTAACATGAGCAAGAGAGCAAACCAAGTCAGTTTCCCTTAAATAGCTTTCCTGGAAGCCCCACCCAAAGACTTCCCCTTATTATTTCATCATCCTCCCTTAGTTGCAAAGGAGGCTGGGAAATGTAGTAGTTGAGCTGGGCCCACTGCCCACGTGAATACAATTGGGCTCTGTTAGCAAACAGTAATAGTGGAATGCATACTGGGAAGGGAGCTAGCTGACTCTCTTCTATATAGCTGATGTATTATCCCAATATATGCTCGGTTTTGAGGGACCCTTAGGAAAATCCACCATTTCCCCCCAAGAGGTTTGGAATTCTTTGACACTTCTGGGTAAAAGTTGATTTGTCATACAGAAAAAAAACTAGCAGCATTTTCTCTCTTCTTTTTAAGGCAGGTAAGTGTTTCCTTGCTTAAGGTAAGCTGCATTTCCTAACAAGAGGAGGAGAACATATAAGGCTTCCAATTTCTGTTAAAAATCTCTTTCAAATTTAACTGCGTCCCTATTTAAAACAAGCGCTTAGGGAGAAACACGTCCCTTCAATTTACCAAATGAGGTGACCAGATTCAAGCATGAGCTTGCCCTTTCTGCCGTAGGGAAGCTATTAAAAAGGGGTCAGAACGCATTCCCTCTGTACCCAGCCTCCTTGTGAGAACAGTTATCTAGTTGTCCCCGTGCGTGTGGGCTGTAAAATGTGAGTGGCGGCCATCGGCACCCACCCTCATCTCCAGGCAAGGCCTAGTGTTCGGCTTCTAAGGAACAGAATGTGACAGGAGTGAGTGCTATGTGACTTCTGAGGCTAGGTCATAAAAAGGATAGCTTCTGCCTGGCATTCTCTCTTAGCTGGCTCACTCTGGGGAAGCCAGCTGCCATGTCTTGAGGACACTCAAGCAGCCTGTGGAGAGCCCACGGTCTGGCACCAGCAGCCATTTGCCAGCCATGTGAAGGCGTCATCTTGGACCAAATGAGCCACCTTCATGTCAGAACACCCGGCTGAGCAGCTCCTGAATTCTCTTTGGTTATTGTGGCTTTAAACCACCAAGTTTGGATTCTGTGGTGTGCAGCAGCAGACGATGAATACGCTGGATGTTGCTAGATATGGTCTGAGAGGAAACACATGGAGAGAGGCATTCCTTGGTTGGTTTCTGTCGCTAGGTTTCCCAAAGCTTCTTATTTGTGATTAAACTAATCAAGGGGATGGTCCAGGCTAAAGGAAAAAGTCGTACTTGATTCCAGTGCATGTGAAAACTAGCTATCCCACGAGGTAGCAAATACTTTACTGTGCTTGACAAATCAGAGGACCTTCCTGAAAATACAGATTCCAGGGCCCCACTTCTGGAGATTATATTTCACAGCTTTCCTTGGGCTCCAGGGACTTATCTTTTCAAGAAGCCCCATGAAATCCTGAGGGGTAACAACTGGCATATTCTAGAATCCTATCAGGGTTATTTTGTGACTAGCATCCTTGGCTTGCACCCACTAGACACAGCAGCAATGCCTGCTGTCCAGCTGTGACAATCAGAATGTCTCCAGACATCACCCAATGCCTCCTGGTGAGGGCAAGATCGCCCCATTTGAGAACCACTGAGCTAGGCCACTTAGTTCTGTGCATGTGCTTAACTAGCACTCAATATGTGGTAATCATGATCATCATTCTGTCTTCAGAACGCAACAATAAGTTGGATTTTTAAAAAAATTTCATTTATTTATTTATTTATTGTTTTTATTTTTTGTCTCATTTTCTTTTTTTTTTTTTGAGAGGGCATCTCTCATATTTGTTGATCAAATGGTTGTTAATAACAATAAAATTCTGTATAGGGGGGTCAATGCTCAATGCACAATCATTAATCCATCTCAAGCCTAATTCTCGTCAGTCTCCAA